CTCAGGGAGTTGTATGAAGTTGTCCAAATTGGTTATAGGCGGCATAATAATCCCACACAAACCTACATGGGTGTCAACAGATAACACTATACAGAAACACATCAATTGTATCCAGAAAGTCAACGGAGGGTTTGGGAATCAGGAGGGGAGCTGACATACGTTCAGATCACCACTTGGTGGTTGCCAAGATGAAACGGAAACTAAAGAAGCGTTGGACAACTGGACAAACAGCATTACATACTAACAAATTCAAGATAGCTCTTAACAACACGTTCCAAGCCTTACAAGATGTTTTCAGAAGGGAAGAAACTACTATGGAGGACAACCGGAAAGGGATCAAAAAAGCACTTACTTCAACGTGTCACTAGGTGCTGGGCTGCAAAAAGCATCATCATAAGGAATGGATTTCTATGGAAACCCTGGACAAGATTCAGGGTAGGAGGAATAAGAAGACATTAATTAACAACTGCCAAACCAGAACAGAACAAGTCAAGGTACAAGCTGAATACACAGAAGCAAACAAGCAAGTGAAGATGAGCATAAAACTTAACAAGCAGAAACACATGGAAGGGCTAGCAAGAAAAGGAAATATGAAACAACTATATAACACGACAAAGAAACTGGTAGGGAAATGCAGTAAACCAGAGATACCGGTCAAGGGCAAGGAATGCAAACCAATCTACTGAGATTCATGAACAGATGGCTAGAATACTTCGAGCAGCTCTTAGATAGACTAGCCCCACTGAATCCACCAGATATTGAGGCAGCGCACACAGACTTTCCTATAGATGTCACTCCACCAACGATCGAAATCAGGACGGTCTGTCATCAGACAAAGTAAGAGTGAGAAAGCTGAAGGAATTGACAGTATACTAGGTGGATCTCTAAAGTCAGATATACAGTTAACTGCAACTATGCTCCATGTTCTATTCAGGAAGATTTGGGAGGAAGGACAAGTGGCACTGACAGACTGGGAAGAGGGATTCCTCATTGGAATATCAAAGAAGAGAGATCTAAGCAAATGTGAAAACTACATTGGTACCAGGAAAGGTTTTCAACAGAGCAATGCTGAACTGGGTGGAAGATTCAGTAGATGCCCAACTTCGAAATCAACAGGTCGGATTCCGTAAATATACTATGCAACGTAGCAACCCTTTGGTTTTTGTTGGGATATTTATAAAAAAAATCCCAAAAAATTATTCTGTTAAGTCTCGTGCTATTCTTGAACGTGAAAGGGTGTCATTTTCCTATTGGTCAGTATTTATTTCACGTGCCGTCTCCCTACTGGTCAATATTTATCTCACGTGTCATTTTTAGAGTAGCCATCATCATTGACTTAATCTCTTCATATGCTTCTTAATGAGTTTGCCTGAATAACTTTTCCAGTTAAGTTGGTTCTGACCATTATTTAGCTCTTCCTCAGTCTTTTCTTTAAGATAAAATAAGCACATCACGATGTGTCAAACGTTGCCCAATGTTGACTAAATATATATGAGGTACAAGACTTTCAGAATATGTATAATGATTATACTCTACATCGTTCTTTTTAAGTTTCTGTCCTATCCCTACATGTCTGAGATTTTAAAATGCAGTTGCACAAAGCGACCACTTTCTGAACGCATCTCGGAACACCACCCGACACAGATTTTAAAAGGAGACTGAATAACAGTTACCACTTTAATACGGGAGCGTCTAACCAACTCTAGACACGTCGCTCCGAAAGTCTTTAAAAAAAATAGTCTGCGTAATCAAGAGAACTGGGTCAAAGGGAGGCCTAATCAAAACCTTATGTACTGCTGAGGCATTAGCGATCCACCAGTTCAAGCCCAAACTCTGCGTGCAATAACAATACTCTCAACCTTTCATCTTTCCTTGACCCTAATTCCCTCCTGTAGTATGCTTTTTTAAACTAGTGTTTTGTAATTATAAACTGTTATCACTTATCATCCTTTAACAATTTTTCATGATTATTATTCAGTTTTTGTTATGACCTCTATGTTCGTCGTTTTTTCTTCATATCTGTCAAGTAGACAATTACCTTACATAATTTTGACCCGTAAATTATTTTCATCTTTCTATTCTTATCTAACACTCCGATTATTAAGTAACCTCATTTTATAATTAGTCTCGAATTCACTTCTTTTTGTTTGCTTGCATCTTCCCATTGATGTTTAGTGCTGCAATTGACCAGTCTCGTGTTGACACATATGCATCATGTGTGAATTGCCTCGATATGGTCTAAAGTCACAAACTTTATAAGCAAAGATGGATAATAGCTAGCAACCCAGGTACATCCAGATGATCAGGTGCGTGTCCTGGATTCCACTACTAGCCATTGTCCATCGTTGCTTATAGTCTCGAATCAGTTTATGATGCAATCTTTCCTATCCTTCTATAGACACATATGTACCACACAACTATAAATACGAATGTACAGCTTAAGTAAATGATTTCGTGGAAAAGAAAGTTTTTTTCGTTGGATTCTCTTTATCCCAATCTTTCGGTAATCACTGTATTATATCTTGTCAATAAATCAAACAGAGAATGCATTGTAGTAAATGACGACTCGCTAAATCATCCTAGCACAAAACCTATCAATGTGGCAACTGTGGAGTTACAGGGTACACAGATGGACGCTTCAGTCAAAATTAACTTAACAAATTCAGAAACTTTGATAACTCAAGGAATGAACTGGTGGTGAGGTCAATAGATGTAATAGAAAATACAACTCCAGCACATGGGAAATACATCACCGACTTCAAAACATCTAGGTTTCTTTCCTAACCGATTCTTATATTTTTACTTAAACTATTAAAATGATCTTTGATACTATTTGATTATCTACCTTGTCATTTAGTGTGTTAATTTTTTTTTCAATATTTTTCAGATGTCATTGTCTCTGCTATAAGTTGAGGATAATAAAGCTCTCATGAATGTCTCATTTTCTCTTTATACTATTTTAGTCGCCCGATAGATTTAGTTTGTGTAAATCCCGTTTAATACTAAAAAAGCGTCCTACTCATCCGTCCGTTAAAATAAGAAAGTAATTCACAAATCATAACACTTAGGGTAGACGTTGGTCAAGCTGAATAATAGAAGCAATTAATTAATCATGGTGGGTAAAGAAATCTCAACAAGATTAGAGAAAGCTCTACACAAAATTAGGCACTGGAACTTGAGAATACTGTTGATAATGTTAGATAGATAATGAGACGTTTGTCGAAGGATGAATATACTGAGGAAACGTTATCTCTATGTTACTAAAACATTGAAGGAAACTGAAATAAGATGATATGTGTTTAACTGTTGATACTTCCGAATGAGTGTTGGCGTTTGTTTAAAATATCGAATCAAGATTGTTAAAAAAATTAAACATTATTCTCCATATGAGAATAAGAAAGTCGGTTAAGTAGTAAGCTTAAATCAGTTTTGAGTAGCTAACATATTAGGTATAACTAGGTAAATACTATCTTAGTATCACATAAATCTCAAGAAGTAATTATTTGTTACTTTGAATCACAAGAAGGAATACAAGCTTCATTGCAAATTTCCATATATTGAAAACAGAGTAATTAAAAACTCTAGACATGTTTCGGTGCTAAAAGCACATCAACTTGGAATGGTTACACTGTAATAATTATCTCTAGTATGATGTTTACCGACTATAAGCTAAAATAATTTGAAAACATGTGAGGACGGTTCATGGATGTACCTGAGGAAGCTCTAAGAAGCTCAGAAAGAGCCGAGCATACTCCATCCAATCATCTTTTGGAAGAATATTCCAGAATCCCTACATGTAGCTCCCCTATTGGATAAATGCTGATAACTCCCTGTATGCGGATTGGAGGACTATAATGATGATTTCGTTCTTACTAAAAACTACAAATACCTGACAGTTTTGTACCATAATTGATACTATTTGGAATAGCACTCCTTTCACTTGTCTTCTGTCTTCCTATTTGCGAGTTGGGAGGGTTCTAGCATTCGAGTATTCAAGTTATATGCGGTATATTAAAAATTTAAGCTCTAGATATAACAAAACAACTAACAATTATCACTTCATATATGTATTGAATTACTCTTTTAAACATTTTCCATAGAATTAAAATTAATTCCTAAAATACAAGTATATTGAGCAGTTATTTATCACATATGTATATATATATATGCTGTTATAAGAAATAAGTAATAACAGAATGTCTTTTAGAAAAAGCACACAGAGGCAAACAAAAAAGAAAGAAAATTATCTATCATTAAATGAAACCAACAAAAACAGTATGTTTATGGCGCATTAAGTTATCCATTCAATTATAAATAATATTTTATTCGAAATGATGAAAGATTACACATTGTTTATCATGAATGGATCAATTCAGCGATTTGAATTACTCTATGTTCAAGAACTTGAAAATTCGTCTACTACTAAATCGATTTATTAAATTCTATAGACACTAAAAAGGCGATTGTAGGATAGTAGATTTCAACTGGACAATATATAACAGATAATACATAAAAAAGGAAGGGGAAGAGCGAGCGAGAGAGAGAACAGAAACATCATACAAAACTTGTTTCAAATAAGTGTACCCTTTATACAATTTAATTTCTTTTAGAGATTAAGTTTTATTTATTAAAGTTCTTCTTTCTTTTGTTTCTTCATTTCATTTCAATTACCGAAATATAATTTTGAATATTGTCGAAAGTGAACATGTACACAAACACATTAACAAATCAAAAAAGAAATGAATTGAGTTAAAACAAACGAACAACAACAACAAAAAAAAAGAAGATTAAAAATGAACGAAAACGAAAAATTATCATTACATATTAACGTTAAAAAGAAATGAACAAGAAATTGAACGCATTCAAGTTCATTATCTATGGAAATCATTAATATGTAAGATAAAATGATGTTTCCCCCCCCACTGTTCCTGCCCCACCACTTTCTTTTCTTTTCTTTTTTGTTCTCATTTATTTTCAATAAACTTCTTTTATTTATTTATTTATTTACCAAATAATGATGGTAATAAAAAAAATAATAAATTTAAAAGATTTCTTAAAAATAAATTAATCCAATTGAATAAATCATGAAATAATCTTGTTTTAATTAATTGTGTACGATTTACTATGCATGTAAATGGTAAATTTATATATTTAATTTGATTAATATTAGATAATTTTATAATTGTAGTTTGATTTTGTTGATATTGATATTTTAATTGGTAGCGGTCATAATTATTGAATGAATCGTTGGTGAATTGGTTGATGTTGAAAGTTGTTTGATTGCTAATGATTGAATTGTATCGAATATGATGATGATGATGATGATTACGTAAAGAAAACAACATTGAAGATGAAGTGATTAGAGGAGAATTGAATAAATTCCATGCTTTATTATCATTTCCACTATTATAATTATGCTTAATCCATGCTTTATTTACTATATAGAAAATGAATAAATTTTAATGCAAGCACATGCATAAATAAACTATGAGAAATAATGATAAATAATTAGAAAAAGATAATACACAAAATGTGGATTATGAAGCAATGGACTAATCATTATTTGTTTTTTTTTGAAATCATTCTGATAGGAAAAAAAGCAACAGCGACAACAACACATAAATCGTCATGCATATATTCATATGGTTTATGGTTGAGAAATGATAATACAGTTGTAGATTGATCATTTTTAATGAATCATCAATGTAAATTATGATATATGATGTTTAAATGAAGAGAAGATAAAGTGATAACTTAGTGATTAAAGCTTTTAACCAGTAAGCTTTAGATTAAACTCGCACCCAACACACTTCCAATGGCCTAATGATCAGCTAAGGCTGACAAGTCCAATCCGAACGTTGTTGTTACCTTGAAGTGGTGTTCAGGCTTGCCTATCGGGATGAACCAATCGAGGTATACTGGCTGGAACAATCGTTTCTCAAAGTCCTACCATATCAGACAGGTCGGTTGAAGAGCGGTAAGACCAAAAGTAACAAACCCAAGGCGAAGTCATACTGCTGACTGGACAGAGGTGTGACGGTAGTAAGGTGTTTCCTTCAAACAACCAGTATAACAGCGATGCTTCCTTCCCACAAGGCTTAGAAAAGGTCGACCCTAAAAATGCACACCTCGCCTTATCCCACAGATTTCCGTCTCCAACGGTAAAGTCTCAACAAGTACGGAGCTAACACGAAAATTACCTCAAGCAGTTATACCTTGGTCACTGCGGCCACTCTCCGGTCACTAAGACCACCTGTAAACCAATTTTCTTTTTAGGAACCTTTAGAAGAACCCTTCCACAGTATAGGCAACCGGGAAGTGATAATCACCCTCATACCTCTAACAACACTCAAGATCACTAATTGACTAACTGCGGAGAAGTCCACTCTATTTATAAAAATGCTTTCATACGGTTGGTCATGTGTTTACAGCCTCTATCAAAAATGTTTAAATCGTTACCTTTATATGCTAAGGGATATTTTTGTTATGCAGTAAGACTACTACTCTATGTCTTCTACGGATATATACATTTATATAAAAAAATCTACCTGAGTATAAAGATGATGTTAGCTAATCGAATTGAAAGTATATGAATAATTGACTAATAAATATATTCCCCCCCCCCCAAAAATAAACCCATATATTCTCAACCAATAGAGTACAATAATTTCCAAGGGAAAAAAATCATATTTCAGCATCTTTAAGCTTAAATCTATATTCTATAAAAGAAACTTAATACTTAGAGAATTTTGAAGAAGAAAAAAACTAAAACTCATTTATATTCCATAAAATGTTCACAAATTTCTGTTGTTGTTGTAAATTACATGAAAATAAGTAAACAAACAAACAAACAAAAACAACAAAAAAGAAAATTGTTTAAATTACACAAAAAAATATTTATCTATTTTTTTCTTTTTTCTTTCTAAAAAAACTTATCATAATTACAATTAAAACAAAATATACAAATTAAAATCAATAAAAGAAAAATGTTAATATTATGAAATGGATAAAGATGAGTCCATGTGAATAATGGAAATAGATGCCTTTTTTTAAAAAAAGAAAAAAGAGAAAAAAAGTAATAAAAAAGTCAAAAAAAGAGAAAAAAAGTTGATTCATTCAATATTGAATTTTAACTTTTTTTTTCTAAAGATAAAAATAAAGACGCCATGTAAAAATTTTTTTAAAGAAAAAAAGAAAGAAGAAAAAAGAGGTATCATAATTCAAATACAAATTGAAAATAATAAAAAAAAACTAAAACATAAATTTCGAAATAAATCGAGCAATGAGTTAAATAAACAACTTAATCTAAGATAATTATACTTAGATGATTATTATGATGATAGTAGAGAAGATTTGTAGCTTAGGTGGATGATTTTGATGGAATTTTGTTCTCTGATTCTGATTAGCTTTTTTTTAAGCGAGTTAGTTTTCTACGGGGTAGGGTTGCTAACCTCATGCCCCATGCAGAGGCATTATACTCCTGTCAATACCAGGGAAAGTTTTTAACAGAGTGTTGCTGAACTGGATGAAAGACGCAGTAGACACCCAACTTCGAGATCAATAAGCTGGATTCCATAAGGATCGATCATGCACAGACCAAATTGCAACACTACGGATCATCGTCGAACAATCAGTTGAGTGGAACTCATCACTATACATCAACTTCATTGATTACGAAAAAGCATTCGACAGTGTAAATAGGAGGACATTATGGAAACTTCTTCGACACTACGGAGTTCCTAAGAAGATTGTCAATATTATCCGGAACTCATACGACAGACTACAGTGAAAGGTCGTACATGGAGGACAGCTGACAGATGCATTCCAAGTAAGGATCGGAGTCAGACAAGGCTGTTTACTCTCTCCCTTCCTTTTTCTTCTGGTGGTCGACTGGACTATGAAGACTTCGACATCTAAAGGAAAACTCAGAATACAATGGACAGCTCAGAATCAATTACACGATTTGGACTTCGCAGATGACCTAACCTTCTCATCGCATACACACGAACAGATGCAGATAAAGAATGTTTTCATTTGTATCACTGGTATAAACACTAAGTTATTTTATAAACGTCACCAAATATGAATCAGGACAACTTCATGTAACTCAAAGCAGATTTTTCGGACATTGCATCACAATACTCAAGTCAATTCGGCCATTATCTATATTGACTTGTGCGGACTACTGATTTAGTCGCACTGCTCACTGATGGTGAGGGAAGATATTTAATATGAAAATAGTAATTATGCATTATGTATATAAATAAGGTTTAGCCATTAGCATTACCAGCATGGTTTTTACCGAAAGTTGTCAATCTCTCAGAAGCAATGACGACGGTCAAACATCAACTCAAAAGCATAAAACATAATCAATTTCACCGGTGCGTTACAGAGCAAACCTTTTAGAGTTAAACTGGAACTACGTTGGCACTAAAAATGATTTATGTAGGTACACGTTGCTCTAGCTTTCACTATACATATATTGACTTCATTTTTGAATTTAACACCAGCACCAAAATATCTACCCAGGTAAACAATTTTTTCAAATATTTCCAGTAGTACATCACAAAAAGTGAAAAAAGTACATGCTGGTCAAACAGTACTTCACATTCAGAAGATATAGAGTACTTCCGAAAACTAATTCCCAACTGATTTAGTGCACAATAATACAGTGTAACGACAGATCACGGTATGGCCGAGAGTGAGGTGGGCCCTCTCTCCTTCCCTCTCAAAATGCTCTCACGTGGCCACGCGTATACAGCCTCTGCCAGGGAAGTCCTACTCACTGCCTTCTCGTGGCAGGGGTGTTGTTTACGAAAATGAGAGGACGAAAAGCGAATGTTCGGAGCTTAAATCGGATCCCAAACTGAATTAATGGTGCACATAGACTACAGTATCCTGAAGGAACAAATGGCGTATGAACCAATTGTTGGTCACCGGCTTCCATGGGACTGCATCTCCTTACGATGCTCCACTGCCTTGTGGATCAGAATCTCAGGTCGAAGGCCCGAGGTGTGGCCCCCTGAGAAAACCACCTGCTTCGGTCTGGGCACACGGGCAGCATCACAGCCCTCACACAAATCGAATGATTTATGTGGCGCATATCTATTTGGTGCCTCCTTGTACCAATGTTCATGTGTTTGAATAAATAAATAAATAAATAACACCTTAAAAAGAACATCACAAACGTAAACTGATTAACTGTATTAAATATATTTGCAGCTTATCCTGTGAAATTGATTTTAAATCAAGATAAAAATCAATTTTTATTTCTTTCGACTGCAGAATCGATTAGTTATAGACGTACGACGCAGAGTTCGACAAATAATTCATTGTACGAAAAAACTTTTATGAAAACCTTCAACTAAATTCATAAATATTCTACTCCAAGATCATTCATCATCCTGAGTAGTCAATGCTGAGAGTATTCCTTTACGATATCAACCCATTTTACTTTAAACTACCATAATTATGCTTTAGTCACATCAATAAATCATGCTAAGTTGATAAGCGAATAGCTGACAAGGTCAAAATGTGAATCAAGAAGAATAAATAAATTGTCTTGTCTGGAAGCCAGAATAAAGACCAAAGCTACATATATCGATGATTGGATAAAAATTTTAAAAATGTGAACAATTGCACAACTCAATAGCATGTTTACTGAGAAGATAAGAGATTCTTGATATGCACTACTGAAAAGCCACATAATAAAATGAAAAAGCAGTGCAATGTTCTTTGTTATTTAATAGTTGTGATTGAAATTTCAACCTGAATCATTTTTAAGAAACATCCCATGTCAATAGAAACAAGTAAATAAATTATCATTGATATGTATGACATTAGAAACAGAAACACCAATTCAAAACATGCATTATGCTATATTGCACACAGAAAATTAGCTAAGATTTTACTTAAACAAAATAATATCGAATCATATTTCTTTTGGAAATATTTCACTACTTATAAGTAGTGAATACTAATAAAACTCATACCACATGTAACAAATTACATTTCATGCATTTATCATGTTATTCTAAGCAAAGTTAAAGAATATTGAATCGCTATAACTGAATAAAATCAACTTTATGCTTTATATGTACAGTAAATGTCTAACTTATACAGAACTTTATATGATGAGTTAATTTTCATGACTAAATCATTACTATAACTACTGAGTCACATAGGAACCATGAACAGTACTAAATAACAATATAACACATCTATCGGATACAGACTCATGTATATTATCTTTGTATTACACGGCTATTTATACTAAATTATGACGGAACCATGTCGGAATTTATAATCTAACTAGTTATATTTAATAAAATCTAGTTCATAAATCATTACTTCAAGTGAATAACACTAATGAGGCAACAATTTTATACTTTCCAATAGAAATATGCATCTCAAAGAATCTTAGGAATTAAGAGATGTTGTAATAGATTCAGGAAATAATAAATAAATATTAATTAAACACTAAGATTTAAATATTTTTGATATCTAGGTTGAATGTTACAGAATTAAAAATTAACTAAATCATATAGTTGTTAAACATTTCAGTTTAAACAACAGAGTAACACTGACTTTGGACATAAAATCCGATTTCAAATATTGATGATGTATGTGTTAGATCAGTTAAGATGTGAATAGTGCAGTTCATTGTGAAGCTTAGTGACACGAATTCAAACATCACTAAGACTATCGAGTGGTTGAAGATAGCAAACAATGTACTTTATTTGACCTAGGTCTCATGTTAGTTAGCCATCATCATTTAAATATACCTATGATCTTGGGAGCATTAGTTCTTACAAAAATGAAATTTAATATTTCCCCATTTTTGGAAACGAATTATTTGTTCAACAATTAGTTAAAATAATTAATCGGTACCATAGTCATTCTTTTATTGAATGTTTATATAAGTTTGATTTTACAATTTATTAAAAACAAAACAATCCACCTTTTTTAAAGAAATTAAATGATAGTTATTTCAATGATTGAGATCGTGAGTCAGTTGATGTTAGACCACCATGGAAAGCCTGGTTTCCCATGATGGTCTAGCTTCAATTGACTCATGATCTTAACTATTGAAATTACTGTAATATCCATAAAACCCCTTCTGATATCAATTAAATTATACGTTAAAAATATCATATAACTTACAAAAGTCATAGGACAAATAGTCTCTTTTATGATTAAAATTATAATGACCATCTGAGGAATTCATTAGTTTGAATTTTTCTTTTATTGATGAATTTAATTCAATACGAATTGTGGAAATATGTGAATTTATAAAATTCTTCGATATAATTTCATTTACTTTTGGCATTATATCAGTAGTATATTTAGATATTTTAATTAATTCTTTCGTTTCATAATTTCTATTCATTACATTTTGAGTTATATCATTTTCATTAAGTTGTTGTTTCTGGTGGTGAATTTCGCTTGACAATGGAAAATTTACAAATAATTCAGTATTTGTATTAATAGTCTCTTTGATACTATTACTACTACTACTATCAACAATATTAGTAGTATTATGACGGTTAAAGAAATAAAAATGACGATCAAGTGATTTATAATAATTTAAATTACAAAACATTAAGAATAATTGATATTCTTGCAAATAATTTGAAATGAATAAATTAATTGATACATAATTTCCAATTGATTTGGTGTTTCTCCAACTATTATACTCAACTACGTTAGAATTCGACACGTTGTCGATGGATAGTTTAGAATAACTGGTTAATGATCTTGATTCATCATGTATACCAATGGGATGCCCATTCATCAATTGATAACACTTGTCAGCATCAACGTAACGATTGTCGTTGTTCGAATTAATTGAACAAATTTTGGTTAACTCGGAAAGACTTTTAAGTAGATTGAAATGTCCATTGATTAATTTTTTGGATATCGTTCTAATAAACTTTTCGGATGATGATGGGTGGTTGTTTATTGAAGAGGTAAAATGTGTAGTTGCTTCTGAGTTGATAATAGGAGGATAGTTAACACATAATTTTAGTGAAGGCATTAGTTTAGAAAAATTTGTTTGACTAACAACATCTACATATGGAACAATATATACAGGAGATTGTACTATGAACTGGGCTAAGCAATGTGGGGATATAAATTCATCAACAATTTCAACAACTGGATCTACAATGAATAATTCAATAGCGTATTTCACATTATCATCATTACTACTACTATTCTTGTTATTATACAGTATGGTTTGTGATGATTGATGATTAATTTCTGTTTCGATTATGATTGGTTGATTTAATGACTGGATGAGCCAAGGATGATTGAGACATTCTTTAGCAGACATACGTTGTCTTGAAAGAGAAAGAGAATAAGAATAAAAGCAATGTGAGTAAAGGATAAAACAATACAGTAAACTGATAAAATGCAATCTTCGTTTTAAAAGAAGTACTTACATCAACTAGACTCAACTGAAATAGTAGAGTTAATGACAGAAATTATGACTTAGGGCTGTAGTATAACAGAAGTAAACATACACTAAAAATTATAGAATAATTAAGGAGAAACAGTCAAATATTACTTTATGATTAACATGTACTTTTTAAAACTCTTTATGGAGATAATTATCTCACAGATTTTAATAAAATTCTATGATTGAATAAACAATGGTGCTTTCATATATAATCATTATTCTCTGATTAATTGTGCATAAAATTTGCCAAATACAATAATATAAATCCATTTTATTTCAATTTTTAAATGAAAAACAATATGATTCACTATCACAAAGAAGTTGTTATAACTTGTGACCTTGGATCGTTTTTTTTACCCCGTCGACAATTGTTATAACTGTGACTGCGGATTACACGACAGCGAATTATCGATCGGACCAAAGACGTGTAAAACACGTAAGAACAACCTAGAGTCCTGATTGGCCCTGCTTCCCTGTCTAGCCCAGAGAGTTGAGTCCAAAACACCAATTTTAGCCTCTGAGATATAAATCATTACATTTCAAGCATACTGAGTTTATATACCAATCAAACCGACCACAACGTACCAATAAAATATGAAACAACATTTGTACAAGAATTAGCCAGATGTGGCTGTGAATGAGGGAGGTAGCAATTAACAGACAGGGAATAATTCATGAATGGTCAAAATAAAGCTCATAATAAGAGGGGCATGAATATGAACAGTACTTATCAATGAAGTCGTTGAGATTAATCGTCTGAACCATATCGACAGACGTGTACTTTTCAGTTGCAGCCCCTACGTAATACTAATACTCATTGATTGTAGATATTGCGTGAAATAGTGCAAAATCGGGTAACAGTCAAACAGTTGCGCTTACCTTCTATCTTACCCTAAATTTTGAGTGTTAAGTACTATTATTATTATTATTACTTCCATTGAAAATACATCCCTCTTGTTTAGACTTGCATTACGATTAAGATATTACAGCAATTTAAAATCGTGTTTTAAATTATTATTATTATCATACAACATCTTTTTTAAACAAACATGGTTTTCGCCATGAATACATAAATAATCTAGTTGTAAATTTGTATAACTTTAAACGGAGGTGGACAATTGTTCAATGTTTAGAAAGCCCAAATGTAAAACAGAGCAGTTCGTTCCGTCCTACTTTATGGTAGTCAAACATGACCGGTAAAAGTAGAGAGTATCCGTAGGTTACTAGTATTTGATCATAGGTGTCTTCGAAACATTGCTCGTATATCCTGGGACCATCGAGTAAGTAATGCAGTTGTTAGGACACTGGTTCTAAGTAAGGATGGTAAATCAATTGATGAAGTAGTGAAACTTCATCAGTTGAGGTGGCTGGGACACGTGTTACGTATGTCCAACCACCAACTGCCTCGACGTGCGATGTTCAATGGTATAGGAGTAGGTTGGAAGAAAGCTAGGGGCGGCCAGACCAAAACATGACACAAGTCCATGAAGTCACTGAAAAGTAGACTGAGTCATATTGGTAGGTGTAGACTACCTGGTTGGAGACCGCGAGATGATAGCAACCGATGTTTAGAGACCCTCAATGACATGGCTCAAAATCGTTTGCAATGGCGCAGGTGCATCCACTCTTTGTGTCTTCCCAAATTCTTATCTTCTGAATTCTTCATGTCCCTTTCTTTTTTCTCTTTCCAAATTTATTTCACTGAATTATACTCTTTGAATAACATCTTCAAACCCTAATTTTTCTGATTACAGCTTATAATTTTACTACATCTAGCACTACGGGATTTAAATCGAACACTACATCTCTGTGCTAATGTGGTGTGGCAACTCGAACTGATATACGTCCGTACTAAGTTCTACGTTGTTACTGACTGACTGACTGACTATCTGTTGTTCAGTAGCTTACATTAATTCTTTTCAATTTATATCAGTTTCCAATAAAAAGGATTGTGTTTGACAACAACAGAAAAAGAGTACTTACATCAGTGGAAAAAATATATGTTACTGTCTTTCACTATTTTCTTACTGTAATTTCACATGATTTATCTAAGTGGGTTTTTTTTCAACCACAAAGCAAAAAATCTTGATTAAAGGTATTTTAAGAATAATCTTACTATGATTAGAACTATGATAAATTTCTTAGAAATATCTAAAGAATTTGTGTGGAATTCTGGACAAATGTGTAGAACTTACATTTTGGACAAGATTATTATCATTATAAGTAAATATATACAGATATAAATAGTCGAATGGTTAGTTAGTTAGTTAGTTCATAAGATTATGGCAAGAGAGATAAAATGTTTTATTAAAGTTTAGTATTTCTCGAATATCTTCGAATCCTTATTATTATGATTGAAGATACAAATAAATAAAAGCTTTACAGTAGCATTCATGATTATGTAATATATATATATGAGAGAGGGAGAGGGGAATGTAATACAAATGTCTTTTCTTTTACAAAATACACTGGAGAGAGGGAAGATAAAACATAAAACCGACTAAAGCGGTAAACTGTTGTGATGGAATTTCAAAGAAGAAGGTACAGAAGGTGAAAAAATATATATATGGATTTTTGAGTGAATGTATGTAAAAGAGAGAGTTATATAAACTATGGAAAATGTATGAAAGCATAAACAATAAATATAATAACCTGTATTTCAACAAAAAATGTGTCCATGTAAGGTATAAAAAAAGAGAAAAACAAAACAAACAAATATGAATTGATCATATGAAAATTTATTATTATTAATGATGCACTAGATTGTTAGAATAAAATGTAATTTACTTACAATCAACTTGAGAAATATAGAAACAAGGAAGATTGATTCAGTAAAGAGATGAGTTTTTACAATTTCCCCTATGAATTTCAGTCAGTCTCCTGAAGGTGCCTGAAAAGGAAATTGGATAAGAGGTCGTCTTAGTGACCTGAGAGCGTGACTGCAGTGCCCAAGGGACAACTGCTTGAGGTCGGTCACACACGACCTTTTTGTGTTAGCTCCGTACTTGTTGAAACCTTACCGCCAGAGATGGATATCCGTGGGATAAGGCAAGGTGTGCATTTTTCGGGTCGTCCTTTTCTAACCCCACTCTTCCTTGTGGGAAGGAAGCACTGCTGTCATGCTGGTTGTTTGAAGGAAACACCTTACTGCCGTCACACCTCTGTACAGTCAGCAGTACGATTTCGCCTTGGGTTTGTTACTTTTGGTCTTACTGCTCTTCAACCGACCTGTCTGACATGGTAGGACCTTGAGGAACGGTTGTTCCAGCCAGTATAACTCGATTGCTTCATCACAATAGGCGAGTCCGACCACCACGTCAAGGTAGCAACAACGCCCTATGAATTTACCTCCAAATAATAAATAATAGGTGTTTTTATTTTTAAAACAACATGAGAATTTAAAACAATCAGTTTTTCTGTTGATACATTTGAATAATGTAATATGAAGATGAAGTTTATCAAAACTATGTAAAAACAAACCTGAATGGCTAAAAACAGAGAACTGCAATGGACAAATACAATCATAGCATGGATGAATTTCCTCTTTTGTGAAACATTTGGTTGAGATCATTCAAAGGGTTGATATCAAGTCACTCTTTGTAGTGTTATGCAATAAGGTTTAACGGTGTATACTCGGGTTTATTGAAGCCCTGGCTATACGAAAACTGAAACTCTATTTATGTGTTCAATAACAGCTTGATCTTACTTTGAATCATCTTCACAGAGATAAACGAAGTTGAATATCAAGTCTTTTTACATCATTACTAATGAAATAGCACTGAAACGAAAAATTGACACCTTAAAGATTATAGTAAAACTATTCAATAATCAAGTACAGACTACTGTAGTCAGACCAATGGAACCATATTGTTTCACGTGAAATCTCCTAGTAAAACTCATAAACTTTTACTGTCTTTCCAGATGAAATTATCATCATCAGTATAGACATCAGATGGTAATAAGCTATGAGAATTTCTCCACAAGTCTAGAAGAAAAAAAAGAAAGCTTCACAATTAAATCATACGATTTGGATTAGAATACGTAATTTCAATGAAATCATTCACCTTTGTTATAAATATTCCCCCCCCACCAACTCAAAATTCCTGGGGTGCTAATTGAAGTGAATTAAAAGTAGAACAAGGTAAGAAACGACAATGTACTGACCAAAAGTATAGTGATTAAGCCAATGGAATCGATCATTCCATGTATATATATATGAATGAATGATTTCATTGAAATTACGTATTTCAATCCAAATCGGATGATTTAATTGTGAAGCGTATTTCCATCTGAAGTCTATACTGATGATGATAATTTCATCTGGAAAGACAGTAAAAGTTTATGAGTTTTACTAGGAGATTTCACGTGAAACAATATGGTTCCATTGGTCTGACTACAGTAGTTTGTACTTGATTATTGAATATATATATATATATAATTTCGTTATAGATCGATAAACATGACTTATTATACAATTATTCAATATCAGAATAAATAAATAAATAGACATTCAAAAAACACAAGAGGAAAAAAAGAACAGGGAAGTAAAAATGAAAGAAAATTCGAAAAAAAGAATCCGTGTGCCAAAAATACATTGAAAAAAAAACACAGCAACAAATCGATAATCATAATAATCGAAAAAAATTTGTGAAAATGAAAAGGAAAAATAGCCCTACTACTATTACCACTACAGTATATTATATATCATTTTGAAAATTGTGTTGAATTGCCATTTTTCTAGGTTTCTTTTATCTTACTACCTAAATCACAAACATAGTTTTGTAGTGATTATTAACTAAATGCATAAACAAAATGATAAAGTGTGTGTGTGTGTGTGAGAGAGAGAGAGGGAGGGAAACAAGAAATGTAAGTTAAATGCAT